AGAAAGTACATGCCACTGGTGTGAAATGACGGGACATTGGTCGCGTACTTGTCGTTCCGCTAAACACCTGGTGGACCTTTACCAGAAGTCGATTAAAGAAACAAAAGGAAAAGACATTGAGACCAATTATATCATGATCGACTATGATGATGATGCTAGTGGTGCTAAAGACTTTGCACACATGGACCTCGCTGATGTTTTTGTCCATCCTGAAGATGGAGTTGGTTATGAATAAAACTATATAAATATTTGCATACTTCATATAATCAATATTATCTACATATGCAGTCTCATGTATAAATAATTTTATGATATGTTATCGTGTCTTGTATAAATATTTCTGCTTCATAAGTTAGTAATGATATTATGCATTATTAATATATCTTTTTTGTAATGTTGTTTTGTTCTTGAATAGAAAACAAATATGGCCAAAACTGCGGACCGAAGAGGAGATATATGTTTGGCAGATATTGCTACAACACATACAATTCTGAAAGACAATAAATATTTCTCGAATCGAAGGCTCCGGAAGAGCTGATTTCATTATGCCAGGAGGAACGAAATTTACAATAAAAGATACATTATTTTCCTCCAAGTCCCAAAGTAATTTATTGAGTTTTAAAGATATTCGACAAAATGGATATCATATTGAAACTATGAATGAGGACGACACTGAGTATTTATATATCACCTCAACCAATTCGGGACAAAAGTATGTGTTGAAAAAATTACCCACTCTATCCTCGGGATTATACTAATATCAATGTGATTGAATCACATGTTATAGTAAACCAGAAGTTTACTGATATATTCAAATTTTGGCATGATCGATTGGGTCACCCTGATGCCATCATGATGAGAAAAATTATCGAAAATTCTCATGGTCACCCATTGAAAAACCAGAAGATTTTTCAATCGGATGAGCTTTCTTGTGATGCATGTTCTAAAGGGAAATTAATAATTAGACCATCACAAGCTAAAATCGGGTATGAATTACCATCATTTTTAGAAAGAATTCATGGTGATATATGTGGATCCATTCATCCACCATGCAGATCATTTTGATATTTTATGGTATTAATTGATGCTTCAAGCAGATAGTCGCATGTATGTCTTTTATCATCGTGAAATCTGGTATTCGCCCGATTCTTAGCTCAAATAATTAAACTAAGGGCACAATTCCCAGAATACCCGATCAAGAAAGTGAGGCTTGATAATGCTAAAGAATTTACATCACAAGCTTTTGATGATTATTGTGTAGCAATGTGTATTGATGTTGAACACCCAGTAGCACACGTTCATACACAGAATGGATTGGCAGAGTCACTAATCAAACGACTCCAGCTTATTGCCAGACCATTCATAATGAAAACAAAATTACCCATTTCTATCTGGGGTCATGCTATTTTGCATGATGCATCACTGATTCATATGAGACGAAGTGCATATCATAAGTATTCTCTATTGCAATTAGCACTTGGTCAAGAACCTAATATATCCCATATCAGAATATTCGGATGTGCAGTATATGTCCTGATTTCCCCACCACAACGTACAAAATGGGACCACAAAGGAGACTTGAAATATATATTGGGTACGATCCCCCATCCATTATACGATATCTGGAGCCACAAACTGGAGATGTTTTTACGGCTCGTTTTGCTGATTGTCATTTTAATAAAAATGAATTCCCACCATTAGGGGGAAAAATCATAGAATGGTGGAAAATAGAAATGATCTTAATTGGTATACACCATCATTATTCCACTTTGATCCCCCAGCAAAACAACGAGAATTAGAAGTTCAAAGGATTATACATTTGCAGAATATTGTAAATCAGTTACCTGATGCATTTGCAGATACAACTAGAGTAGCAAAATCACATATAGATGCTGCAAATGTTCCTGCTCGGATTGAAATTCCGAAAGAACAAATGAAAGAAAATTTGACAAACGATTCCAAAACACGTCTGAAGCGTGGACGACCTATTGGTTCTAAGGATAAAAACCCCGAAAGAGCAAAGGGCCCAAGAAAAATGAAATGCTCGATTCGGAGGAACGCGTTCCAAATAAAAAAAAGAAGTACCTTGTGATGATGGTATAAATCCAGATAATGAAAATCATGATATCTCAATTAATTGTATCAGTAATGGTACACTATGGAATAAAAAAGAATTCAAAGAGATTGATGATATATTCTCTTATAATGTATCAAAGAAGATTGATGAAAATGAGGATCCAGAACCCAAATCTATTTCGGAGTGTCAAAGGAGACCAGATTGGAATAAATGGAGAGACGCAATACAAGTTGAATTAGATTCGCTTAATAAGCGAAATGTATTCGGACATATTGTTATTAAACCGAAAGAAATTTCTCCTGTTGGATGTAAATGGGTGTTTGTGCGGAAAAGAAATGAGCACAACGAAATTGTAAGATATAAAGCTTGTCTTGTCGCACAAAGTTTTTCCCAAAGACCAGAAGTAGATTACGAGGAAACTTATTCTCCTGTTATGGATGCTATTACATTCTGATACCTAATTAGTCTTGCAGTTTCAAAGAATTTAGAAATGCGTCTCATGGACGTTGTTACTGCTTATTTATATGGGACACTTGACACGAGTATCTATATGAAAATCCCTGAAGGATTTAAAATGCCCGAAACATTGAAAGCAAAACCGCGAGAGTTATGTGCTGTCAAATTACAACGATCATTGTACGGGCTAAAACAATCATGACATATGTGATATAAACGCCTGAGTGAACATTTATTGAAAAATGGATATACAAATAATCCTATATCACCATGCGTATTTATCAAAAGGACGATGTCTGGGTTTGTGATTATTGTTGTATACATTGATGATTTAAATATTATTGGAACTCCCCGTGAAATCCATGATACATCCAATTATTTAAAAGGGGAATTTCAAATGAAAGATCTTGGACAAACCAAGTATTGTCTTGGGTTACAAATAGAACATTTGAAAGATGAAATCTTTCTACATCAATCAAATTATACAAAACATGTACTAAAACGATTCCACATGGATAAGACAAATCCACTAAGTACCCCGATGGTAAATAGAACATTGGATATCGACAAGGATCCATTTCGTTCGTGCGAAAATAATGAAGAGATACTTGGTCCTGAAGTACCGTATCTAAGTGCAATAGGAACTGTTATGTATCTTGCCAATTGTACTAGACCGGATATATCATTCGCTACCAATCTATTAGCAAGATACAGTTCTGCCCCAACACGAAGACATTGGAATGGGGTTAAACATATATTTTGTTATCTCCAAGGAACTATTGATCTTGGGTTGTTTTACCCTAAAAACACAAAACAAGAAATTGTTGGTTTTGCAGATGAAGGTTATTTATCAGACCCACATAAAGATAGGTCACAAACAGGCTACGTCTTCACAATCAATGGAACTGCATTAGCCTGACGTTCTCAAAAGCAGACTCTAGTTGCTACATCAGCTAATCATGCCGAGGTCATCGCACTACATGAGGCGAACTGAGAATCAGTATGGTTGAGATCATTATCTCAACATATCTCAATATTGTTTGAAGACAATGCTGCGTGCGTTGCACAGACCAAGGAAGGATTCATCAAAAGTGATAGAATAAAACATATTCCCCCGAAGTTCTTCGCATACACCCAGGAGCTTGAAATGCATAGCACAGACTAGAGAAGGATTCATAAAAAATGACAGAACAAAATATATCCCCCGAAGTTCTTCACATACACCCAGGAACTTGAAAGGAATAAGGAGATTGAAGTCAGATATATACGATCAAGTGACAATGCGGCAGATATGTTCACCAAGGCTCTTCCGACAATGGTGTTCAAGAAGCATGTACATAATATTGGGATGCATCATTTACGAGATCTTTGATGTCTTGTTCAGGGGGAGCGTGTAGCTGTACTCTTTTTTCCTTATCAGGTTTTATCCCATTGGGTTTTACTGATAAGGGTTTTAACGAGGCAGCACCGAAATACGCAACTGTATTTTTACTAACGGTGGCTCCAAGGGAGAGTGTTATAAATAAAATATATTTATGGTGGAGTCCACCGTTACTGTTCACACTGACTTACTGTTCATATATACGGTGTTGTTCATACCGACCGTATACGTAAACACTAACTTCGAGATTTCTATAAATAGGTTACTTGGGTTCTTCCATTTGTACACTTTCAAGAGAGAGATCAATAAGAAATACATCCTTCTCCATTCTCCTAAAATACCGTTTTTCGATTATAATTAACGATCTAATATCCGAGTCGTTAATATTTCTCCGATTTCATAACATTTAGAAATTTGTTATTAGTTTTTTTATTTTTATTAAAAAAATAATTTTATAAATTATTTTAAAAACAAAATACCTATTATTTTAAAAAATAATTTAACATTATACCTACATCTATATAAAGACAATATTTTTACCATTTTTATCATAATTTATATCTTTTTTAAGAAAGGTTTTATAATTTAAGATATGTAATTCAAATTTTATTATTCAAAATATATATTATAATCATCTTATATAGTTATTACTTGTATTAATAAATATGATTTTTTAATATTAAAAACTTTTTTTGGTAATTTTTAAATATAAAATCTAAAATCAAAAACTCAAATATTATTTTTACCAATAAAATTTTTAAAAAACTGTAAAAACTATAAAATCCAAAAACTAAAAACTAAAAAACAAAAACCAAAAAACCAAAATAAAAATCAGGACTCAAATTCAATATAAAAATTAATTATATATTTTTTTAAATCGAAATAACCTACTTCGGACGGCAATTGCTAACAAGGGAATAAATATATATATTGGGCCATTTGGGCCTATTTTCTGTTAAACCAAATTTATTCAAGTTCCCTGGGCAGGTCTGTTGGGCCGAAAAGGCGTTCGAAACCAAAACGCATCGTTTCGTCATTTAAGAATAAGAACAGTGCCGGTTTCGGACCAAACCACTTTCTCGTTCATCGTCGCTCTCAATTGTTCAATTCGCCCAGTGAAACACAGAGCCCTCTCTCTTTTCCTAGATCATTCTTTCAAAAGGATAAGAAAAATAACCCTCTTTTTCGTTGTCAAATTCTTCAAATTTCTCATACCAATTGCTTAAATTCTTCGTTTTGTCCCTCACCTTGACCACCCGTTTGCTCTTATTTCTTCTTCATTTCCGCAGCGTGTTATTGTTCGAGCGTCGTTTCGATTTTTAGGGTTTTTTTCGCTTTGGAGTCAGTGAAGAGGGCGAACCTACAAAACCCTTTTGTGGTTTTTCATCAAGCTTCTGGAAACAGCGGTACGCAGATCCTTTCCGCCTTTTTCCTGCCTCGTTCGGGCTATTATTGCTTCTGCGGTTCGATTGATGAACCAAGTGTTGGTTATTCTGTTCATTGAGATATCTAGGAGATTAGGTTTTATGGTTTAAATGGGTTATGCGTAGTTTTAGGGTTCGATTTGGCTCGGAACTTGCAATGAGGGTTTTAGAAATGGTTCGCCTAGCTTAGGGTTTAGGGTTTCAATACGGGCGTAGAGCTTTCTAGGTTTATCGAATTGGCAAAAACCTATGTTTTCTGTTGGGAGGCCAAGAAATAATTCTACTATGAAGAATTCTGCAAGCATGTCCAGGGAATTTAGGTTTTCTCTGGAATTTGTTAGGACAGTAACTCAATTGGAGTTTATGTTTATCAGTTCTGTTCTTTGCAGCTTATTTAAGGGCGCTCTGAGCTGTAATGAGCTCTTCTATCGTATGTTGGTTTGGTTGTGCATAGATCTTAGTCTTACTCTACGGTATTAAGGATTTTAAACTCTTCTAATATCTATGTAGCACCTAAAATACTGAAGAATATATGTGTCGATTACCAATCTGGCTAACCATTTTGATAATGGGAAGAATAGGAAGAGTCTGTGCTTTTATTAAGAGTCCCTTTTCATGTTCTCTAAAAAGCTTTGGCAGAGAATGTGAAAGATTACTTTATGCTCAAAGGTGTGCACTTTCATTGGCATCAAGTGTTCTCTGTTGTGTTTCCCCCTCCGTGTAACTGCAAGTGATTTACGGCTTGTAAATATCTGGATGTATCGATGTTCTTATTATAACAAGTATGCTAAACTGCAGATACCGACGGTAATTGCTTTTCACATGGAAGTAAAGTCTTAAAAAAGGGCAGTTTCATTGTTGATTAGCACATTGGGCAGTCTATTCAAGGTTTATGCCTGTTATCTAACTACACGGTGGCATGGAGACGCAAATTCATCTACTTGAGCAGGAAGCTTATTGTGCTGTATTAAGGGCTTTTAAAGCTCAGTCTGACGCAATTACTTGGGTAGCCCCATCTTTTCATTGGTTGGGTTAGACTTTAGTAGGTTCTTATTGATTCCGCAACTGAATCCCGGGCTTACATTGTTCTATGATGGTTTCAACTTAGGAAAAAGAAAGCTTGATAACAGAACTGCGTAAAGAATTGAGGGTATCTGATGATGAACACAGAGAGCTACTGAACAAGGTCCATAATGACGATACCATCCGAAGGATAAGGTCAGAATACTTATTATTTGCAACTGTGCAGAACTATGAAAAGCTTTGCAAGAGATGCGATCTTTGTGCCCTTGCTAACTAAGCTGTATGATGGAATGAAAATCAGGGATTGGAGACAGGGAGGTGGAGGCCAAGTTCCCAGACATGTATCTGCTCAGTCTGTTGATGTTCTTCCTAGTCCTACTTTCTCAGCTTCCCGGAAAAAACAGAAGACTTTCCAGTCTGTAAGACTTCTGATATCATCTTTTGTCATAGACACACAGCAGAGACTTGGATTAGCATCTAGCATTCTTCCTGTTGTTTTCTTCCTCTCTGTATTTTGGTGTGTCAGAACCTGATCTATCCATTGGTGGGGTATGCAGTACCCATCAATTGGTTCTACCGGAAATAGGTCATTCAATAATCGTGTCGTATCCGGTGCCATTTCGACAAATGAGCCCGCTGAAGCGCTTGTCGGTAGAAAAGTATGGACAAAATGGCCTGAAGACAACAACTTCTATGAAGCAGTAATTACCCAATACAACACAGATGAGGTACGTTTCAGCAATGGAAGCCTAAGTGTAATAGCGAGGTGATGAGAATTACGTGTAGCGATATGTTGTTCAGATACACACACACGTTCACACATTCACATGCATGTATGTTTTTTGAGGTGCACTATAATGCAAATGTCTAGATCTCTATCAGTTATCTAAAAGGACTAGTGTCAAACCTCATTTGATTTGTTTGACTTTATTTGGGAGGGTAATCATCCTATACTTGTGCTTGTCTTTTTCATCTTTATGCTTTCCCTCTTTCTGCCTATTATTATGTATGTTTAGATGGAAAGCATTTTCTTATGTTATGTTGTGTAAGACTGCTCTTTTGGGAAGAGAACTGGCACATTAAAAGATGGAACTGCATAGAAATTTGGCAGAGTCAACCAGTTTCTTTGTTGCATTTTGATCATTGAGCATCATGTCTCAAGGGGTCTTTCAGTTTAAGTTTTCATTGTTTCTTTCACAGGGTCGACATGCACTGGTATATGATATAAACACAGCAAGTGAGACTTGGGAATGGGTTGACCTTAAAGAGGTAAACTTTGATGTCTTCTTTACATAGGGATGATCTTAAATTGATAGATCTTAACTCAGTTCCTGTGGTTAAATGTTCCTTTTTTGTATTCTGCCAAAACGATGTCCTCTTCTTTGGGAAAAAAATTGATTTCTAAAAGTGTATCCGGCGAGTCTATCCCGATACCATTTTTCTAGAAGCTCAGTTTATCAACATCATTTTCAAGAATCCGTAATGGTTCCATTTTGATAATTTGAGATGTGTGCTTGAATTAGTTTTCCCTGTCCTGAGATGATCAATAGACGCAAGGATTTAGATGCTGAAAGACAGTTCTTGTGTCCTGCCCTGTCCTGTCTTTTGGTTAATTGTCTGTACGACTGTATGATAATATTCCGATTAGCCATATGACAAGGATTCGTTCATATCGTCTCGTGTGTTTCTTTAACTACGAAGATAGATACTCTTGAATGACAGGAATTACTTTCAGCACCTTATATTTTATGTTTTGATGAACTTTTTTTTGTCTTTGATTCGAATTCTGTAAGAGACTCAAATCTATGTTTTTTTTTCCGCTCGGGTTTGATACATAACGAATTGCACAGATTCCACCGGAAGATATCAGATGGGACGGGGAGGAAGCGAGGGCGACTTTTAACGTAGGGCGCAGAGGTGGGCCAGTCCGAGGGAGTCGGAGATCTCAAAGCCACGATGGCGGTAGAGGGAGAGTTCCTTCGAAAACTCAGCCTAGGAGAGAGCAACAACATTTACCATCACAAAATGGTGGTGGAGGCGGAGAAAAGTTCTCCGACGATATCGAATTGTTCAACACTGATGCACTTGTGACCGAGGTATTCTTGCTTTTATCCGCAACTAAAACACAAGCTGTTTGTGAATTCTTTACCCTTTTTCTTCTATAGGGGTGGGTAGTTCGGTTTTCGGTTTGGTTGGGTTTTGATTACAGTTTGTTTTTCTCGGTTTTAGGAAAAACTATATCCATTCGGTTTGGGTTGGTTTTGATTTTTAATGATAAAAATGCTAAATTTTTTTATAGAAATTTTTAATTTTGTTTGGTTATATTCATATTCTGTTCTGGTTCGGTTCAATTGTTCAATCTTAGAAACTTTATAACCTTTGGATTGGATTTTATATCAGATTCACGTTATCCGGTTCAGATGGGTTTGGTTTATATACATAATCGAACCAGAATTTCGGACAAAATCGTGTGTTGTCAGTGTTCTAATGCATGTTTTGGATAGGTGGAGAGGGTATTGGATAAAACACATCCCGACCCTTTGGAGCTCGAGAAAGCCAAGAAAATGCTAAAGGTTTTGTATTACTTTTGTTTAGATGTTGTCTTTTGAATAAAAATATTTGGTAAAGGGGCATATAATTAATAAATGCTCTGAATGGCCAATGTGTGCATGCAGGAACATGAACAAGCTCTTGTTGCGGCCATTGCAAGGCTCGCCGATCCTTCTGATTCCAAAAGCGGTAATAATAAACACAAAAGGGCAATCTTCTGTCACTGCTACCCTTTTTTTCCCCAATTCCTCTATTCAAATGGAAACTACGGATAAAACTGTTATAATTGAATTTCGTGGGCACATTTTTTGGACGGCTTTAAACCACTATAATGTCTGAAAATGACAAATCAATCATGGGTATGTGGTTATATTCACTCATTTGAACAGTCTCCATATAGAAACAGTGATGAACTTGCCTGAAAATGATAAATCAATCATGGGTATACGGTTATGTTCACTCATTTGAACAGCCACCATATGGAAACAGTGATGAACTTACCTGCAATAGTGCTTCTTATCTGTGGATGATGCTCCTTGACTATGAAAGAAATCCTCTTTGCTTCCATTTGGTTTAACTTTTCCCGTTCAATCAGAGGGAGAACAACCGTATCCGCAAGAGCTGCCAGTGCAGAGGGATAACGTCTAGTAAGGAGGATGGGGAGAGAGACGAGGAATCAATTCTTCTCAATCACAAGCATGATGTCTCAACGTTTTCCTCTTTTGTGTCCCTCGAGTTCTTGGATTCGAATCCAGAAGGGTGCTGGGCAGATGGAAGACGATTGTTTTGTTAGTTGTGATTCCTAATGTATGAAAGATGTTATAGGATTGGCTGTAGGATTTTTACCCTGTAAACATGACGATGCTTTCAAGTACAACAACTTGTGACCATGTAAATGCTCCAGTGTCCACCACCATGATGATGTGATAATCCGGCCTGAGATCCAAACTCATATGTTTAGTCGTTCAGTTCAGGTTATGGAATGTATTATTGGTTTTGTCATTAATATTTGCTTCTGTTTGGCATAGTTAATAGACACTGACCTCATCCCATAAAACTTTCTTGGAGGTATTCCAGCAATGATGGTGGCTTATTTGAATTACAGATGAAGAGCAAACTCCTGAAAATGTTTAAAAAGGATATGCAGATAAGAGGCCTGTAATGATTCCAAAGAATGATTCTTACAATACAGAAGAACACAAGCTAAGTTTCCCACCCCCAAGGATTCTCCTAAACATGAACTCTAACATCAGTTGTGAACCCATACCAAGAACACAAATCCCTCAAAGGCAAATGCTTTTCATGCAAATTTTTTATGTCAAGACTGTGCTTCAGGAATCTAATATATCCAATGTTTTGCACTTGCGAACACATTCATCTTGCCGTTATGAATCAAATGAATCACTAGACACAAACAGAAAACATTACATTACCTTCAATGCAGCTCCCACCATTTCATCTTTGATCCGGGATTAATCCTCTATCCAAAGTGCTCCTGCAGCTCAAAAGATTCACTGATCGTTGTGGGTTACTGAATCGAATTCAAAACATGTGGAATGCTATAGAAAAGATCAAGGAAATCGTAAACTCATAATACAAGTTTAGTGCTCTTTTCAACAAATCTGATTCTAACTGGATAAGCTCTTGCAACACAAATTCAGCTTAAACGATCAAAACCCATCAACTCTGTGACAATTGTAGGCTAAATCAGATTCAAGGTTCACAGATGCATCTGGCGTAGCACTAACACTATATCACACAGCATAGAAATCAACGACCAGGAAAACGTCAAAATCAAACGAACCATCCGGTGAAACACAAAAACCCTAGCTCGAGTGCAGGAAAAATAACCATCGGATCGATCGTACCTCAAGATGAGGAACCATGTAGGGATTGGGATCGGCTCCTGCGAAGTCGTCAGGGTCATCGATCAGGCTTTTGCAACACGTAGAACAAGAGCTGAGAACCACCACCCGTTCTAGGGATTCCGGATTTCAGGAATTCGGAGAAGAACATCACTGGAGAGAAGCGGAATTTGGAGATGATCGTTGCCGATGAGAACGGAGGATGTCAGAGAGAGAGAGAGAGCAATTGGGGGCGTCCTTTGAGATTGTCAAATTAGAAAGGAAGAGACTCCTAATTTTTCTCCTTTTTTTTAAAACAAAATTGGAAACATAATTAAACAAATTGAGAAATACAAAGTAAAATATAAAAAATTCCATTTTTTTAACATATTCAGGATTTAAATGGAAAAATACATATAACAATCTTCAATTATTTTAAAATATATAATTATATATATTTAAAATAAAAATTATAAAATGATTTTGGATCTAAGTGATGGAAAGAATATATAAAATTTTTAAAAATATGAAGATATATTTATAAACGTGGATTGGTAAAAGTATGTGATAAAAAAAGATAATAAAAGATAAATAATAATAAATTTAATTATTTTGAGATAATATTGAAAAATATAAAATTATTTCATCTAAAAAATTATATTTATAAAAATATTATATAGATGTAGGGTATAATTATTTATAACAAAACTAAAAAGATAATCGTGGATATTCATTTTTTTAATTTTATTATTTGAATTTCGATTGGCGGATATTCAAAGATTTAGATTTGAATTGGGATTTAAATAGTTGTGAGTACCTTAAAATCATGTATATGCAAAATGATATTTTCGGGTATTTATATCTACTATTTATGTTTAGTATGGAAAGAATATAAGTAGGATTTAGGATCTTAATACAACCTGTTTATAATAAAGAATGAGTATTAAAACAAAAATTATAAATGATTTTTTAAATATCACAATTTTTAGAAAAAGTAAAAAAAAAATGTTATCTAATATTTTTTATTGTTACTATTTATTGTTATTTTTTTTTCTTGAGCGCTTGTATGAATAAGAATAACTGTGGGCGGCCAAAAATATATGGGCCAAAAAAGTCCAGACACTGACGTCATTAAAAAAGGAAATAATTAAATAATGACGTTAGGTTAAAACTTCCTAATTTTTTTACAAGATAGAAAAGGAGGAAAAAAAAAAGAAAAAGAAAATTCTCTCTCCTTTCTTGAACAACGACCTCAAGGATTAGGGTTTTTTTTCTTCTTCTTCTCTCTCCAGCGATTTCGCTCGTCTTATCCTATTCGCTGTCCAATCGGTGTCTAGGGGTTTCCTCGGATACTTGGCATGGATGCTCGCAAGAGAGAACGTCATGAGGCTGGTTCCTACAACTTCAATGGCGGATTCAAGAGGTCCAAGCAAGGTTAGCCCTTTCACACTCTCCAGCATGATTCCAGACCTCTCATTTCCATTGTTTGAAAAACTGTCAGACCATAATCATAGTTCATTCCCTCTGATTCGGATCTGGAGATTTTTGTCTTGTGCTTCCGTTCATTGGCTGTGATTTGGGTTCGGATTCGAGATCCTCAGTTTCGGAGACAACATCTGTTACCCACTTAGCTTGGGCTTGCGTCATGTATTTTTCTATATTGTTTGTTCGTTTGAGCCCCTCGTGCTCAGAATCTTGGGTTTGTCTGCTTGTTGTTGAAAGAAAATAGTAGGTGTTCCTTGAACCTTCCATGGTCGTGTCTTGGTGCTGTGTTCTCTGTTTTGTTATTGCAACTATGGAGCATTTCCTTAGTTCAGTGGAGAACTCAAGACAAAATGGTTTGCCCTTCGTTCTGGATTAAGTCCATGTATAGTGTTTCTGTCAAGTAGGCGTGGTGTAAAGCATTCAGCTTCCTTGTTAGCTTTGCCTATGTGAAACTAGAGATGATTCATATTCTATTGGTCTCGAGCTTAAACCTCCTCATCTGCAGCCAATGAATTGAGGAAACATCGTGTTCGAGTCAAAGATTTTGCCCATGAATTGAGAAAACATCGTGTTTGAGTCGAACGTTTTTCTGCTGTCCTTTGTATTTTGGCGTAGCTGTAATTCCTTACTATATTCTTGGGTTTCGGCAAAAATCTTTTATGAAGTTAGCTTGCACTCTAGTCTCTTCTCTCGTGTAAGAACAAACCCTTTTTTCGCAGCGAATATCGGGTTAACATTTAGTTTTTTCCTTGTCAAGGGTCTGTATCTCCAGTTGTACTTGCAAATGAATATTTGTAAGCTTTGATAATGTTTTGTAGCTTTGGTTTTTAGGTCTCAACTATCATGTAGATAATTGAGTTCGGTGTATTGGAGGTACTCCAAAGTGATATATTATTGAACAACAGAAAAGTTTTAACTAAGAAAAAACACTTAATGTTTGCAACAGAGATGGAATCATATTCAACTGGTTTAGGAAGCAAATCGAAGCCATGCACAAAATTTTTCAGGTTATAATCCTTTTCTGAATGGGATAATATTCGAATTGTTGTTTCTCTTCGATTCAATCCTAAATTAACAAATGATATTATTATTGTGTAATTAATCATGCTAATGAAGTGGTTAGTTGTTATACAGGTACATAATCTCGTTCGTCCTAAATGAGTTAAAAAGATTCAATGTAGCAAATGTGATTCTTACTATGAACGGATAAGCGTAGCTGGGAGTATAATTTGAGAAACCTTGAATTCAGCTGGTATAACTCGCAAAATCAACCAAAACTTGAGTTTTCTTTGAGCTGGCAGCAGTTGAAAAAAGGGTATTGTATTCTACTGTGCGATGGTAAGGTATGCGTAATTTTCATATAAACTTGAAAGAAGGTAGTCGGGTAAGTAAGGCTCGTGCTATCAACAGAGTTGTCATAAAGAAAACCAAGAAAAATATGTTTATTTGTCGAGATATTTGATTATTCTCTCACTGAAAGTCATTGCGTTGGGTTTGGTAGATAACATTGTCATTATCGCGATTCTAGATAGATATGCTGTGTGCTCTTTCCTTGGCTATTTGTTCCTCTTGTCCTGTGTTGATATCATTGGTTTTACTCTCTGATCGTCTATGCTTTTATTGCAGCACCTCTGGGTGTCCTTTCGGTGAGAACTGCCACTTCTTGCACTATGTTCCTGGTGGGTACAATGTCGTAGCCCAGATGACAAATCTCGGTCCACCTGTTTCACAAGTCTCTAGAAACATGCCCGGTTCTGGCGCAGGGCGATATCCCGGGAGAACGGAGCCTGCAACCGGCTCTGTTTTAAGTTTTGGTGCCTCTGCCACAGCAAAAATAAGTGTTGACGCGTCTTTAGCTGGACCCATCATTGGAAAAGGAGGGATTAATTCCAAACAGATATGCCGTCAGACGGGGGCAAAGCTATCGATTAAGGATCACGAGAGAGACCCGAACTTGAAGAACATTGAGCTGGAAGGGACATTTGAGCAGATAAACGAAGCCAGCGCAATGGTGAGAGAGCTCATAGTAAGGGTTAGCTCAGCCGCCAAGAAACCCCCAGGTGGTGGTTTTGAAGGGAAACCCCATCCAGGAAGCAACTACAAGACCAAGATTTGTGAGAGATTCTCTAAAGGGAACTGTACTTTCGGGGATAGATGTCACTTTGCACATGGTGAAGCCGAGCTTCGTAAATCAGGAGTCGCTTAGTAAGTTGTCTCGGGGGGGTTTCCACTCTGCCAGACACACCACATGTTGAGATTCCCCGTCGGGTGATAGTATCACCCGTTGTTTCGAGAAACTAAGCATTCAGGCATCAACACCGTCGTCATCATCATTGTCTTTGTAAGTTTAGCAGGAGTCTTTTCGAGGATAGATGAAACTGTGGTAGTGGTAAGATATTTAGACAGAGCTCTTAGAATGTGTTTAGATTCAGACGTGCCTATTAACTTGTGTTCTAAAGCTTAAACTTGATTTGGAGTGTTTGGTTTGTGGAATTGGCTATTCTGCTTGTCTTTATTATAACCGTGACTTAACAGCAGAACAGATTATTGTATTTGGTTAGTTTTCAAACGAGAAACTTCTTATAATTTTTTTCCGTGGTGGGGTAAAATCGGTGAAATAAAAAGATAGGGATAAATGTGTAAAGAAATAAAATATAGGGGTGAAATTGGAATTAAGAGAAGCACTTCGGTTTCGTTAAATACCCCGCTCTTATTCTCGCCTTTTGAATTACGGGCCGAACATGGAAAGGCCTGCCTGTTGCGTGTGAGAGACGAGAGAGAGATCAGATTCTCTCGTGGAGATATTTTTGCGGCGCGGCTGTCGAAGGGCCATTGGAAGAGAGAGAGAGGGTGAGGACGCATTCCATTTCTCTCTGCTCTTGGATTAAGCTCAAGGTCAGAATCTGTGTTTTTCAATCTCTGTGTTTCGTGTCTCGTATTTCTGCATGCTGCATTCCAATGCCTACAGAGCTCGCCTCCGGCGTTTATTGATCTGTTGATATCTCTGCTTTCTGTTTCTCGATCTGGATTTTCATTTTTCGGTCTCGTGTTTCTGGTGAAGAAATCTGATGATATTTTAAACAAACGAAAGATTTCCATTGCCATATTTTTCTGTGCGGATCCCAGAATCCCCTGGTTGTGGTGATGCCGTGCCATCTGCTTTCTCCCCAAGCGAATGGAAATTTTTTCCAATTTAATTGTCTTCCGATATGTCTCTGCTTTCTTTTTTTCTCTTCCAGTAGGGTTGCTTTCCAAGGGCTCGCATGTTTGTTTGCTCGCCTGTTTTGATTTCAGGGACCACCCACGAAGTGAACTGTAACCGCTGGTTCGTTCATTGCCCCTCGAGTTTTTAAGCCCATCTATCTGGGAAATTCGTCCAGGACTCTGGTCTTTCGTTGCTTTTGATTCCTAAAGGTTTCTACTTGGGTTCTCTCTCTCTCTTTTATGAATGACAAGTTTTTTGAGCAAAGCCCTTTTTAAGCGGTTGAATCCATACTTTACTGCCTGCATTGTGTTTACATGAATGTACGAGCGTTACGTCTTGCTTTGCTTGGCTTTCTCTTGAGAAATATGTATCGTTTATCGAGCATTTGTTCCCGTCTGGTGTCAAAGTTTTGTGCAAATTATGCTTGCTGCTCTTCCCGTTTGCAGAAACATGGGTGCGGTGGCAGGATGCAAGTTCCTCATTCTTCGGAGAAGTCCAAAGCCGACGCTATGAAGCGTGTTCCATGTGCAAAACCACCTTTCACGCTCGGAGATCTCAAGAAAGCAATCTCTCCACATTGTTTCAAGCGCTCTATCCCTCGCTCTTTCCCGTACCTCGTCTCCGACCTCGTCGTCGCCTCGTGCTTCTATTACGCCGCCTCCCAACTACATCACTCTCCTTCCTCACCCTCTCTCGTATTTGGCCTGGCTGATCTATTGGGCCTGTCAGGGCTGTGTCCTGACCGGTGTCTGGGTCATAGCCCACGAGTGTGGCCACCATGCTTTCAGTGACTACCAGTGGCTCGACGACACAGTTGGCCTCATATTCCATTCGCTTCTCCTCGTCCCTTACTTCTCGTGGAAATACAGTCACCGGCGCCACCATTCCAACACCGGGTCCCTCGACAAAGACGAAATGTTTGTCCCCAAGCAGAAATCCGCCATCAGATGGTATTCCAAGTACCTCAACAACCCTCTCGGCCGAATCCTGACCCTGACCGTCCAGCTTGTCCTCGGATGGCCGCTGTACTTGATGTTCAACGTCTCGGGCAGACCATACGACCGGTTTGCTTGCCACTTCGATCCATACGGCCCCATCTACTCCGATAGAGAACACCTTCAGATATTCATTTCAGACACGGGTATTCTCACTGTCTGCTATGTCCTTTATTGTCTCGCCTCTGCAATAGGCACGGCTTGGGTTTTCTGCTTTTACGGGGTGCCGCTCCTCGTGATTAACGGGTTCCTCGTCCTGATAACGTACCTTCAGCACACTCACCCGGCATTGCCTCACTATGTTATTTGTGAAAATTTTCAGAAATAGCGTTCTGTATATAGAAATACAATGATTATGATTATATATATATATATATATATATATATATATATATATATATATATATTTGACACATTTTTGGCACTTGGGCTTCCTTGAAATTGTGAATAAAAATGGCCATGATGAAGTTCTCAAACACGTTTGGAGGAACAACCTCGGAATGGTACATGAAGGCATCGGCCTTTCGTAAATCATAAAGCAGAGTGGTTTTAATCATGAAAAGTAATCTCATTTATGACCCCCAAAAAAAAAATTGCCAAGACCATAAAACATTACACGAACTCTAAAGGTTCCATATTCAATGTTTTGAGAAATGACAAAAACAAAGAAAGAATACAAAATCAAGCGATCTCTTTGTCCATTGGCTTATAGATATAAATGGCAGAAAACACCAAAACAAAAGGGCATGAAATGAAACTCAAGAAATGAAGAAGAACAATGAAGAAGAGGAAGAAGAAGAAGAAAAAATGTCGTAAATAACCCATTTTGCATCTGTGAATTAAGGAGCACAAAAGGGCAATTTTTTCTTTAGTCCACAACTCAGATTGCTGTACCTTCTGCAATGTCTAGAAGCATTTCCTGTGAACAATCGACGGCCCTGATTCGTCGTACTCTGCCTTAGCTATCCACATCTACAAAAACCGATAAGGCATATCGTAAAAACCCGCAAAGAGAAACATCGAAAAGGGAAACAGATTCGAGCGAAGAGGCTGTTAGAAAATCTCGGGTACCTGTTGGAATGTGCTGAGGGAAGCAAGAATGGATCCTCCGATCCATACACTGTACTTCCTCTCGGGCGGAGCAACGACCTTAATCTTCATGCTGCTGGGAGCCAGAGCCGTGATCTCCTTGCTCATCCTGTCAGCGATACCCGGAAACATGGTGGTTCCACCACTGAGGACGATGTTTCCGTAAAGATCCTTCCTGATATCGACATCACATTTCATGATGGAGTTGTATGTCGTCTCATGAATACCGGCTGCTTCCATCCCGATGAAGGATGGTTGGAAGAGGACCTCAGGACAGCGGAATCTCTCAGCACCTATGGTGATGACCTGCCCATCGGGTAGTTCATAGCTCTTCTCGACTGCTGAGCTCGTCTTTGACGTCTCCATCTCTTGCTCGTAGTCGAGAGCTATGTAAGCGAGCTTCTCTTTCATGTCCCTGACGATTTCACGCTCAGCCGTGGTGGTGAAAGAGTAACCACGCTCGGTCAAGATCTTCATTAGGTGATCAGTAAGGTCACGACCTGCCAAATCCAGACGCAGAATGGCGTGTGGAAGGGCATATCCCTCATAAATGGGGACAGTATGACTCACACCATCTCCAGAGTCCAAGACAATACCTGGAATTTTAAAGCAAGAAACCATGATACAGATCAACAGGATTACAAGAGCATGTAAATTCTTTCATTCTCAGTTTGTCAACACCAATACGAAACAGTAATCATCATCTGCTTCGCTACAAAACAATTGGTACGAAAATGGACAAGCATAATCAACGGTAAAGGTTAGGTACTGTTTCAGCACAATCAAAAGTAAGGCAGAGATGGGCAAGTTAGTTAAATGCCGTAGCTTCCACATAAGTTCAACCTATATATGCAAGATCCTATTTCCAGCTTATTATACAGAGCTAATGCATAGAGATTGTCTAGGTTAATAGCATAAAATAACTTAAACAGCCACAAGAAGGCGTCACAGTTGCTTACCAGTTGTACGACCACTGGCATAGAGGGAAAGGACAGCTTGGATAGCAACATACATAGCGGGAGTGTTGAAGGTCTCGAACATAATTTGGGTCATTTTCTCACGGTTGGCCTTTGGGTTGAGAGGAGCCTCGGTGAGAAGGACCGGGTGCTCTTCTGGCGCCACACGGAGCTCATTGTAGAAAGTGTGATGCCAAATCTTCTCCATATCATCCCAATTGCTAACAATACCATGCTCAATCGGATATTTCAAGGTGAGGATACCTCTCTTTGATTGAGCCTCATCACCAACATAGGCATCCTTTTGGCCCATACCGACCATCACACCAGTGTGGCGAGGGCGACCAACAATGCTGGGGAAGACAGCTCTCGGGGCATCATCTCCAGCAAATCCAGCCTAAGTTCATACATAATTTAACAAGGATTCTTATATATACATGGAATTATCGCTACCATAAACAAGTGCGGAAGA